CCTTGGTCACCCAAAGTGCTGGGATTACAGGCATGACCCATGGCACCCAGCCAAGTTTAGTGGTAAAAGAGAAGAAATTTTAAGAGAAGTAGAAGAAGAATGAGCATAAGGAGAGCCTGTCATTTTTGGAAACTTTTCTTTTTTTCTTTCTTTTTTAATTATTGGTAGAGTCAGGGTCTCCACATGTTGTTGCCCAAGCTGGTTTCAAACTCCGGGGCTCAAGTGATCCTACTGTTCCACCTCCCAAATTGCTGAGATTATAGGCGTGAGCCATGGTGCCTGGCCATTTTTGGAAATTTTTCAACAGTTAGGCATCATAATTTACACGGCCCACTTCTGTTCTTACTCAGGTCCAACATTTCTTGCAGGATCTACCTTCTGGTTGGATTACCGACTTTGAACAATGGAATCAAGTTTTGACAGCATTAAAAAAATCAATGAAGTAATAGATCAGTAATCATGGTTACTAAAACCATCAGATGAAGGCTGAACAACTTTATAATGCCAAGGATTATGCTGACAACTTTTGAACCTACTAATCAATCTTAATATCACAAGAAGAGAGAAAATGGGCTTATGTGCCCCCTGATGGAAATACTGTATACCACAGTACTTATGAGATACTCTTGCCAAAAAAAACCCTGAATTTGATCAAACCTCTATATCTAATAATTAGTTTATTAGAAATACAGCGGACAAGAGAATAAGTGACACCACAGGTATCTAATCAGCAAAATCTAGAAAATGGAAAATTCTGCCAGGTTTTCAGCAAATTAATTGTAAAAAAGAAAAGGGAAGGGCATCTTATAGATTAAAAGAGGTTTCAGGGACACAGTCACTAAATTCAGTATGTGCATCTCTTTTGAATTCCAATTTGAACAAGCCAGCTGTTTGAAAAAAGTATTTTTTTTACAGATAATTAAAAGATAGTTGGGGAAAATTTTGAATACTAATAGGATATTTTATGATATTAAGAAATTATTGATTATATGCAGTGGCTCATGCCTGTAATTTCACCACTTTGGGAGGCTGAGGCAGGTGGATCACTTGAACCCAGGAGTCCAAGACCAGCCTGGGAAACATGGCAAAACCCTGTCT